GAGAGAGAGAGAGAGAGAGAGAGAGAGAGAGAGAGAGAGAGAGAGAGAGAGAGAGATTATAATGTGCCTTTCATCGTACCATCTGATTTGAAGTGTCACGATACTGATACAAAGAAGAGATGAGAACAGGAAGATGAGATCAATCTCTGATTTGGCTATTTCGAAGACCAAAGCATCTACGGATTCCAATTTAATGGTGTTGGTAATGGCTAGTCCTATGTGGGATCGTGGGGCAAGGAGTTTGGCTCCAAATACATTCGTATTTGACACCAAGACCTTCAATGGTCATGATCTAAAATCAAAACAGAAAAAAGAAAATCAAAACTGAAAAATGAAAGAAACATAGATTAGCAAACTCACTACTAACGTTGATTTAAAAAATGTAAGGGATCTTTACCTGTGTCCCAATGAAAAAAAGAAAATTGGGTTTTCATTCCTTGCTAGGTTTGTGGATCTGTATGTGGATCTGAAAGAAGAAAAGAACACACATGTGATATAAGATTCAATCTGTTATCAGACAATGACGAACAAATTTCATCTCTTTACCGAAAATCCTAAGCGAGCATGTAGAGAGAGAGAGAGAGAGAGAGAGAGAGAGAGAGCGTTTACTCATTAGTCGGTAACGCCTTCTTCATTATCAGATTAATGCTCGCGATTGGTAAAAAAATGTCTTGTTCAAAAACATTTGAAGACATTGGGCTTAGTTTCTCGTTCTGATGACTCCCGACGCCTGGACTCGCCAGACCGACGACGTTAATGGTGGTGGTGGGGTGACGACCAGGGTTCTTTGAGTGAGAACAGAACTGTTGATTTTTTAAGGAAGCGTGTAGAATTTTTAAAGGGATGGTGGGGAAGAGGGAGTATAGGAGAAGAGCTTTCAAGCATAATGAAAAGAATTGATTACTGATGATTTTTTCACAAAGCGTGTAGGAATTTTTGAAGGGATGGTGGGAAAGAGGGAGTATAGGAGAAGAGCTTTCAAGCACATTGAAACGAACTGATGATTTCTTTAGGAAGCATGTGTGAGGGAGTTTTGAAAAGATAGTGTGGAAGAGGAAGTACGGGACAGTGGAACTAAGCCTTCAAGCTACAGTGCGAAACACTATAGTTTGATGTGCTCTTATCTACAGTGCTTAACATTTTGACAAATGCTAATGTTTACAATTACCACTTTCCTTATCGGGATCAGGATACAAAAGAATGGTTGGGACAACAAACATCCATCTGGTTCATACTTTGTATTACCCCTAGAACCATAAAAAAAAACTTTTGAAGTTTCTAATTCCTTTTAATTTAAGGGGCGTTGGGGACAAATCAATTTTTGGAGTTACCTTTTATCTAGTATCAACAGCTTGATACTAAAAAGAAAAAGAAAAATATTTTTGGCAGGCTAGAGATTTCTTGTAAAAACACTAGCCCCACTACCACTAAATTGATAATTAGAATATTGAAAGCTTCTTATTATTTATTAGATATATGATTTCCTTTTCATTATGCACACAAGGAAGGAGCCCTATAAGATGAAAATCTTATGTATGGTTCTGTATCTGTAACGTAACGGATAACATATAAAAGCTTTGGAATATTCTTATCGGGCACTAGAACGAAACCCCTTCTTACCACAATTTCATAATATGTCTGTCATTACGTGCGAAATCCGACTTAGTATCCTATGCCCAATGCTGTCTCGGTAGATAACATCATACATTAAATACACAATGCATATAGATAAACAACACAAATAAAACTACATCATTAAACATTAACAAGGATGGACGTAACTTACGGTAACTAAAATAAGAAATCATATATTAAATAGTTTTATTACGAAGTTATACATTTTATTATTAAATAACAAAGTACGTAGTATATTAATTGTATAATTTGAATAAATATTATAAATAAAGAATGGTTATTTAGGCCGAATCTCGATTCCCTCCACGATTAGACCACTCTTCCGCTTGTTCATCGTAACCTCCTTAAACACCATCTCAACTTCCCCATCATCTCCTTCCTTGTACTCGAATTCTCCCAACTTAATCTCCATCCACCCATCGTTTCTCCTAAGAGGAATCACATAGTCCTGCCGCACGCGCCCTGGTGTTTGAAGATAAACATTTTCAGTCTCCCTTTTTACCCCACCAAAACTTACACTTGATTTTGCTGGCGCATCAAGTCCAGAGCAATTCTCAGTAGTTCGAAAGACAAGATAGGCAACATATGTATTGTTTTGTGACAGATTCACAGCTGCTACTTTACCGTGGATCTCAAGCCACCAAACTTCTCTAAGTGTGCACACCTCCGGGAACCTACAGAAACGGCAACGTAAGTATATGCATGAATGCCAAATTCAGTATATTAATAACTTACAATGTGACGCTTAAGAGAGAAAGAGAAAGACCTTGATTCCGGTATATGTCCCCATTCCCAGTATCGAGTGTCATCTTGCCATTCAATGGACAGGTCGTTGGCCCCCAACATATAAAACTCCTGCTTGTCGATTTGGAAGCTCAGTTTATGGAATAATTATTATGAGGTTAAATCTTAGCAGAAGTTTGTTAAAATTAATTTCGAAAAAGGAATATGCAAGTCTGATAAGCAGACGAGTAAAGTTACTTTTTAGAACTAAATTAAAACAACAAATCCTTTCTCTTATTGAAAACATATTATTATAAAAAAGATTAGAAGCTTACCATTGTTTTCTATATTGGTGATTATGTATGGTTATGGTAGTAGCAGCTTTTCTGTGAATATAGTAGCAGCTTTTCTGTGAATATATATAGAACCCAGTTTGTTTAGAAGCGCGTACCTATAACGGTGGACTAACATCGAGCCCTTTAAAAGTCAAATGATGTATCTTGTATATTTTATCATTATAGATGCAACCGTTACGAAGTTCTTTAAAGTCATATGTTGTATCTTGTATAATTTATATTGGTAGTCATGTGGAAATTTCACCAACGGAACATCAATCAGGACTTGGTAATACCGACCTTTTTTTTGTGATTATTTACTAGTTATAAACCTTGTCTATTTGCAATCACAACGATTAGATGCATGAAAGAGCCAAATGTTGTATCTTGTATATTTTATCACTATAGCAATAACCGTTACGAAGTTCTTTAAAGTCAAATTTTGTATCGTGTAAGTATAATTTATCTTGGTAGATATTATACGTGAAAATTTCACCAACAGAACATCAATCTGGACTTGTTATAGTAATACCGACCTTTTTTTTTTAATTATTTACTAGTTATAAACCTTGTCTATTTGCATTAACATCTATTCAGACGGAGTTTAATGGAATTTTTATTCTGCACAAGGACTACGTGACCAGACATGGAAGTGAAACCCCTTTACAAGAGCTAGAGATCCATCTATATGATTGGACAATAATAAATCAAACTAATTTTGCTGTCTCTTAGGCTTGCATCAAAGCTCTTTTGTTGGAACCTATACATAGAAGTGCTTGAAACACGTTTTATCATACAAAAATTTACTAGTAAAGAAAGCATGGGAGATTCCGACAAAATCCCAACAAAGATTTAAACCGTAATTTAGCCACATATTACCGCAAAATATCGATAAACTTAAAACATTAAATGTGCATTACGAGAATTATTAGCAATAGTAGCGACGCTTGTGCCCGCAAATAGTTCTGAAGTTCGCCTTTAAAGGTTATAGCAGCAATATGTCGCCACTATAGTTTTGTCACTATTGCTTCAAATTTCGTCGCTAATTCAAGACGGCACAGCTAATACATCTGGTTTCCACTAATACTCATGTCTTCGCTAATACTTTTGTCGCCACTAAAAAAATAGCCGCTAATAAGCTTTTTTTTTTTTAAGATATGTCACAAAATATTAAAAACTTCTACAAAAGATTACTTGCAGAAAAATAGATCATAATATAAAAAAGTTAATAAAGTTAATAATACGCCATTGATCCCAAATTACTTCAAACGTTTAAGTATAAAATATGTTATAATTCTAAGAAAACATTACACAAACCCTAAAACAAGTTAGACATGTTATCCTCGCTCCATCGTTCCCTCCGGTATCATTTCGTGGCTGCAACAATCGAAACCATGATTCATGTGTCGCACTAAATCTTTTTTTTTTACTATTTT